GATCCCACATATGAGTTGGGATCAGGTAGCATTTGTCTTTCTGTATCTGATTTATTTGACTTTACATAATTTAGCATAATGTTCTCTAGGTTTATCTATGTTGTTGCAAATGACAGGACCGCCTCCTTTTTAGTGACTGAATAGTGTTCCATTGTATATTTGTACAACATTTTCTTTGGTGACACTGGGGTTTGATTTGAACTCAGGGCCTTACACTTGCTAGGTAGGTACTCTTCCACTTTATATACCACATTTTCTTCACCCATTCATCTATTGATGGACATAATTTAATTATTTGATTTTGGAAATAATGCTGCAGTGAACATGGAAGTACAGATAACTCTTCACCACATCGATTTCCATTCTTTTGGATAAAGAGTCAGAGGTGGGATTGCTGGATCATATGATAGTTTCATCTTTTGAGGAATCTCCATACTGTGTTCCATAATGCCTTTGGGTAAAAGTTACTTGAATTAAAAGAAATTCCTGCTGCCACCCCCAATTCCTCAGTTTATATACAATCCCAATATGATAGGCCCTGTTGACTGTGTGCCCATTTTGTCTCTATGAAATAAACTATTTATAGCTATTCCTTATCCAGAATTTGCAGCTGAGTCAGAGGTCTGACCACTGTACATTATTGTACCTGTATTATCATTAATTATAAGGATGACATAATTTATATTCATAGCCAGTATTTCTGGTTTCAACTAATAGGAGTATTAATTTTGTGAACCTGTACTTTAGCGTGATCATTTATTAGAAGAGATGTTTCCTTATACCAGGTGAATGTCTGTGTTAGTAGTCACTCATAATTATATGTAATTCTTTAATAAAGTGATGATGGATGTGTTCCCTTTCTGCCATCTCTTATGTAACAAGAAATTCGTCTCTATCTTTAAGCATTAAGGGATACAGTGTCCTGTCTTAGGAATCTTTATCTTGTACATTACTTGTGTAGCACATATCATGCAGTGGGCACTCAATGGTTGTTTTTGGATTAATGAATGAGCCCCATGAAACAATACTCATCTTTGTGCCATGGACAGTGTTTAAAAATCAACATACACTAAATGAATACATACCCACTGTGAGTGAAGAACTGTGAAGAAGAAGAAGACAAGATAACACAAAACAGATGTTGCCATTTGCATGGACATCAGAACTTCAAAACCACGTTTCAGGTGTCTTTTATATTCTTTCCTATAGTTTTAACCTGTTTTTTTCTTTTTTTATTCTTCAGTGAAAATATTTTTTTACTAGCCATCATTATGTTTTCTAAAATCTCCTACTATGTGTTATCTGCTTTCAGATATCTACTAAATTCTTTATTTTAGCAAAATCCTGTTTGTTACAGTTCTAAAATTTCAATTTGATCCTTTAAAAAAAAGTGTAGAGTCTAGTTCTCTGATGAAATTCTTCATGTGTTGTTACCTCTTTTTCTGTATGTATAAATCATAGTTATTTTTAACCCTTTGTACAATAATCGAATAACTTCAACAGGTTGATAACTTGTGGATTTATTTGTGTTTTTGTTGTTGTTATTGTTTGTTTTGTTTTTTAGCCATTTGGTCTTGTTGCTTAGCATGCCTGGCAGCTTTTGAGTGAATACAGAGTAGTACATGTGAGTCACTGAAGATACTGGATAATGTTACCTCTGCTATGACTGTTAGTTGTAGCAGAGGCAAATCACCTTGATCCAGTCAGGGACCGAGATAATTTTAAGATAGATGTCACACTTTTAGAGAGTTGGTCTATTTCTAGTTTGACTTCCTTCCTCCTTTCCTTTCCTCCCTTCCATGCTTGGGATCAAACAGATCCACACTTTGCCTTTATTTCTAACAGCAGCTCCTCAGAGCTTTCAGCTGAATGCTTTAGTTTTTTACCATGACCTTCATGGTAGATGTTAGACTGGAGGGAAACAAAGAAAGAAAGGCAGGAGGTGGTTAAACATCAGCATAGGCCTTATTTGGGAAAGAAAGCCTGCTGGGGGGGTCTTTGGCAAGAGAGCTAGTGCCCACTGCCACCCATAGGATTGGGGCAGACATAGGGGGAGCTGGTGGAAGAGTACCAGGAAGGTCACTGGGTGGGAAAATGTTCTTTGGGTCACTGAAGAATGCTGTTGCTGGGCACCCAAGGAAGATAAGTTGTGACTAGGTCACTCTTCTGCTCAACTATCCTTGGCACCCACCTGGAGATAAAGTTAATAGCCATCCCTCTGTCAGTCTTTGGGGTTGGTTGGGGAGTTTCCAGCAAGCCACATGTGAGGGAGAGGAGGTCTGATCCTAACACGGCTGGCTGCCCTTACTGTTCACCCTGACAGCAGACCCTAAATTCCAAGTTTAGTCTTGCAAGCTTTGTGAACCTTCCAAAAACGTTGCTTACAATAAACATGGGTGTGCAGGTGCCTCTGGAGTAACCTGTGTCACAGTCTTTTGGGTATATCCCCAAGAGTGGTATTGCTGGATCAAATGGTAGATCTAGTGATGCCCCACCACCGATGAATGGATTAAGAAAATCCAATGGAATTTTATGCAGCCATGAAGAAGAACGAAATGTTATCATTCGCTGGTAAACAGATGGAATTGGAGAACATCATTCTGAGTGAGGTTAGCCTGGCCCAAAAGACCAAAAATCGTATGTTCGCCCTCATATGTGGACATTAGATCAAGGGCAAACACAACAATGGGATTGGACTTTGAGCACAGGATAAAAGCGAGAGCACACAAGGGAGGGGTGAGGATAGGTAAGACACCTAAAAAATTAGCTAGCATTTGTTGCCCTTAATGCAGAGAAACTAAAGCAGATACCTTAAAAGCAACTGAGACCAACAGGAAAAGGGAACAGGTACTAGAGAAAAGGTTAGATCAAAAAGAATTAACCTAGAAGGTAACACCCACGCACAGGAAATCAATGTGAGTCAATGCCCTGTATAGCTATCCTTATCTCAACCAGCAAAAACCCTTGTTCCTTCCTGTTATTGCTTCTACTCTCTCTACAACAAAATTAGAGATAAGGGCAAAATAGTTTCTGCTGGGTAGTGAGGGGGTGGGGGGGAGAGGGAGGGGGCGGAGTGGGTGGTAAGGGAGGGGGTGGGGGCAGGGGGGAGAAATGACCCAAGCCTTGTATGCACATATGAATAATAAGAGAAAAAGAAAAAAAAAAAAACAAAAACGTTGCTTACATTTTTAAAATAGTATTTATTAATTTTTTTAGAGCAGTTTTAGGCTCACAGCAAAATAAAGTAGAAAGTACAGAGATTTCCCGTTTGCCTCTGACACAGCTCATGCATTGCCTCCCCCATTATCAACATTCTCTACTAGAGTGGAATGTTTGTTACAGCTGTTGAGCCTGTGTTTACACAGCATCATCACCCAAAGTCCATAGTTTACGTTTGGTGTATTGTGTGGGTTTTGAAAGATGTATAATGACATGTGTTCATCATTATAGTATCAGACAGTGTAGGTTCTTGACCGTACAAATCCTGTGTGTTCTGCCTACTCATTCTTCCTCCCCTCTAACCTCTGGCAACCACTGTTGGTTCTATTCTCTCTATAGTTTTACCTTTTCCCAAATGTTGTACCTTTCACTTAGTGGTATGAGTGTAAGTTTCCACCATGTCTTTTCATGGGTTGATACCTCATTTCTTTCTAGCACTAAGTAATATTCTGTCATTTGGATGCACCATAGTTTATCAACCACTCACCTACTGAAGGACATCATGGTTGCTTCTGAGTTTTGGCAGTTACGAATAAGCTGCTATAAACATCATCATGCAGGTTTTATTGGATTTAAGTAGTTAATCCTACTGAGTAAATAGCAAGGAGCATGACTTAACACTTACTGATCCATTTCAGTAATCACATTTCCCCTGCACATTCTATTTGGTAGTTTCTTAAATCAGCAACAGCTTTCTTGGTGCTTCTGTCTCATGTTTCCTATGAACTGCTTTATGATTTTAATAATTTAACTTATGCTTATTTTATAATTTGTGTCCTGTTTGTCTGAAATACTCATGGGTCTAGTATCATTGCATATTCTCTTAGTTTATATTGTCTTCTGCCGTGTGCCCCCAGAGCACCTGGCAATAATTGTTCATTGATTGGCTTGGGATTTCTGAGGTCAGACAGCTACTGCATATGTGAACCCCCAATGTGAGTAGAGAAATATGGCTATAAAACCTGAAGGGGGAGATGTCCTTCATTCAAGCAGAGAAGCTTCCTCATCATTCTGTTTGCTGGTGTAGGGGCCACACACAATCTGTCACTACATGTGTGTGTAGCAGCTCTGCCTCTTCACATTACATGGACTCTTGTTTCTGTGTGGCCACTGTAGCCATCCTAGCACCATCCATCTCCTCAGGCAGCTGAGTCATAGGGTCCTGCTGCCCTCTCTGATTTTTGGAGTTTTTTTCCATGATCCCTGAGGGATTCGCCTCATTGTCTTATGAGCTCAGATGTGAGTATGTAAAGATATTTGTGTGCTTTATTCAGCATTTTGAGTTTGTTTTGGTAAGAATTTTCATGTTGCCTAGTTCTCCATAATTCTAGAAATAAAAAATCTTGACTGGCATGACTTTCATTGCTGGCTTGTGGTAAGGCTTAATAAATATATTCATTAAACTTCATCCTCAAAACTATTATTTTCACAAATACACAAAACCTAAACATTTGGCTAATAATAGATCATAAAGCTTTATCTATCAACTGAGGGGATGCTTCTGAATATAATAGTCTGGCTTAATGCGATATGACAACAAAACTCCCTTTCTCCCAACTAATCTACCTGATCCCCTCAAAACCTTTACTTAAAGCTCTTTATTTCCTCAGGGAATCTAGAACATGTCCATGACTTTGCAGCTTTTAAATGCTAGAAGATATATCTATAGGAATGTATGCTTACTTGTCAATCACTTTAACTATAAACATATACATTATTTAAATTCAGATTTAAAATTGTTTTTTGCATGACGTTTCATATCCTTTTTTTGCATTTTGTAGGAGGATACTACATCGAGACTTGAAATCAAAAAATATATTTCTGAAAAATAATCTACTCAAAATTGGTAAGACTTTTAAAAATATGTATTTCAAAACCATGGGAGAGTGTATTCTAGTTGTGGATCATATTGAATTGAAGTATTTGATATAAGGAAGAATTAATGTAATCATTGGCTACTTCAAACCTCTCAAAATTTTGTTCTTAACTGGATGGTCCCAACAAAACAATTGTTTTGTTTCTGACTATCTGATATAAATAAAGGGATAAAACATTTATGATATACTTTCTAGATTTAGCAAATATGCTTTGAGTTCTTACTCTTTACCAGACATTTTGCAAGTGGTTAGATTTGTTTTCCTGGTTTAGTTAATTACTATAGGTTTTTCATTTATTTTTAGCCCAAGCAATAAATAGTTATTATATGTACTGTAAATGTTGACATAATGGCCTTATGAATCTTTAATTCTTCAAAACTATACCTCCTCTCAAATAGTGGATCCTTAGGGAATCCCGAAGGAATGAAAGCATTCAACTAATTAGGCAAAGATTAGGTCAGTGGACTCAAATTTTTATACTTATGTTCTTGAATAGTTTTAGGTCTCTTAAATTTTTCCTTTGTTGTAAACTAAGATCAGACTCTCCCCTTCACTTCAGGTGAAAATGAATATTATCGTATTAAACACTTCCAGAATCACTCTGTTTGCTGCTCTCAGACTTGAAATAGCTTCATCTTGGGTTATCTAGTTCTCCATAATTCCAGAAATAAAGAATTGGAGGTTATCTAATCACTTTCCTGGTGCAAAGTCTTCTTTTTTTCTGTAAAGCTTATGTTTTTAAAGTTGTTTACCCGCATTGTATAATTAAAAATATCACTTTTCTTTCTGTTTCAAATGGTCTGAAGTATTGAATAAAACAATGATCAAGTGAGGCGTCCATTCACTTGTTACTTTCCAGGGTTGGCTTTTGTTGTTTTAAAGTATTTAATTCTTATTTCCAGGGGACTTTGGGGTTTCTCGACTCCTAATGGGATCCTGTGACCTGGCCACAACTTTAACTGGAACTCCCCATTACATGAGTCCTGAGGCCCTAAAACACCAAGGCTACGACACAAAGTCAGACATCTGGTGAGTGAGCAGAGGCTGCCGGGTGACTTCTGTCCTGAGGGAACGTTGCATTTCGTTTGAAGTTCATTTACTTACTGCTTCCACTCACTTTATCCCCTTGACATTTGAGTCATTCTGTGGCCAGAGTAAAAGGAGGTCTTTTGGATTTGGAACTTGCTCTATTCCATTAAATCCTTTCAAAAATTCTCTTTATTCATAGATTAATTGGTTGGTTTGGAATTTTAGAACCACAGGGGAAAGTTCTTAATGTACCAGAAGCATTAAATTTTGATATGTTTCTGCTAAACTATTAAATAAAGCATTTGTAACCCTAAATACCGTGCTTTATTTTGCTTTAAGGCTAACTTCCAGCTCTGTGGGGAATGCACAGCTTTTCTGTAATTTTTCTTTTTTTTACTTTTAAGAATTTTACTAAAGATACAAGCTTTATGGATAGCCTTAGTTTAAGTTTTTCTGGATTTCCAGTGATAGAATACATCTGTGATCTTTCAGATTCTCTGGGCTCTTCAACCATGCTAAATATCACTTGCAGAAACCATGTGGAAAATCATGCTTAGTGTGTCCTATTGTAAGCCACAAATCCTATTTGGGGACTATTTCTTTCTTTTGAAGAGAAATCTTACATAATTTTCAGCTTGTCAAGGGTTGAAAAGACAGTCTAGCTGAGAGCTTGTTAATTAAGTAAGTAATTATTGTATGCAAATCCACAATCCATGCTAAATAGTTCTGAGCCTTCAAAGATGAGCTATGGGAAAGATGCACCCACTTCATTTTTCTGTAGATGGTAAAGTAGAAAATCATCTTTTCTGTGATGCAGTGAGGGAAAAGCGAGCCACAGCAGATCTGCCTTGGGTTTCTCATATGGCTTATTTCTTCTGTTCTTATTTTGGTGCCTCCCAAGTGGGAGAAAAACTATAGAGATGAAGTCCAGTTGTGGCAGTTCCCCATAAATCTGTCCCTTCAGCTCAGGCTGTGATCATTGGTTTCTAGGTTTCCCTGAATTCCTTCCTTGCTTGCTTACTGTGTTCAGAGATCTTTTCAAATTCATCTATCATTTTCCTTAATCCTTTTCTCTAACCATCTGTCCCCCCCCCCGCCCCCATCCCGCCAAAAGAAAACCCAAACCAAACAAAAGGTAGAAAATAAAACCACAAGGAGTGTTAAGAGGGGTGAGTTTCTTTAAATTTTGCTCTTGAGCCTCTACAATTTTCCCAGGACTGTTCAATGCCCTCTAGGGTACAAAAGCAAGTGACAGATTACTAGACCCCTGGTAATTCTTGCTCATTTTGGGGTTCCTTTCTCTAGCTTGAGGACATCAGTGTTGGGCTTTGGATTGAATTTTAGTTATATACCCACCTCTCCTTTTATGGTTAGTTAAAAAAATTATTATGGGTATTTCAAATTGATCCAAATGCATATTATATATATTTGAAATTATGTATAATATATATAATGTCTTTATGATTTAAGATTATGTATTATCTCAACAAGATTTATTTTTTTGAGATGGTCTCACTATTTGGCTGAGGCTGACCTTGAACTGAACTGGTGGTCTTCCTGCTTCAGCCTTCTAAGTGTTGAGATTATAGGTCTGCACCACCACATCTGGCAAGAAGATGTTACATCATGTCATTTGATCAGGAGTGAATTAATTTAGAAGCCTGTCATTTAAGTTTTGGAATTGCAGGTATCAATATACCTGGCTTCTTTAGACATAGCGTCTACATCTGCTCGCCGACAGATGGATGACTCACTCCTAGGACATAGAGGCAGCAGATCTGCAGAGGGCTGAATAAAGCAGAGAGCCTTTGTTTTAGTTGTGTCAGTGCTACTTCTCTTTTACAAATTGCTCCTCTGATTGCATGAAGAATTATAGGAATATCAGACAATATTGCTACAATGTTTTATGGTTACAAAAACATCTGACAGGCAAAACATAAAATAGTTAAAACCTCCCAAATATAAAAATGCAAGGGTATTTTAATGTACGTGTTCATGTTTCAGGTCAGCTCTCCTGGCAGTGACTATTAACTATTCAGCAAGTTCAAGCAAGGACTCATCACCATCCTGATCCCCAAGCCACCTTCTTCTGAATTTAGTAATTACCTTGGTTGTATCTAAATCAAAATGGCCTTATCTGGTAATGAAAATTCTACTGCCAAACCTAAAGTGGGAAGAATAACAGAGAGCTATTAATTATAGTGGCAGATATAGAAGTCTGGTAAGCAGTCTTAGGGAGACACTCTTAGAGAAATTGGATTGAAAGAAGATGGGAACCTGTCTGCAATTCAGTGTGTAGCATCTGCTTGTTGTGTAATGTTTTCTTAGGCCTGGAGACGTTTATGAATACTACCCAAGTGTTTTTCCTTAGCACTGATAGTTGTACAGCTTACATTTATACTGCTTAATGAAGAATTGCTCTAATACTAATTATATTTTCATCTGTTAATATTTGTCCATATATAACTTCATCTTCCTTCTGCAATCTGTCAAACCTATCTGTATTCAATTATTTATAGCATTCAGGTATAGGAATCCTCTCTCAAAAGGGTATTAGGCTCCAAAAGCTGGTAAGCAGTTTTTTGGAATGTTAGGATAGTTAGGTGCACTGAAGATAATACTTTGATTTGTATAAGCAATTGCTAAATAATTTTTCTCCATGGGAGAAATATAAATATGAGTAGGGTTCCTAGGTCAGCTCTTTACATTGATTTAAACAATGAATAGTTAGTATATATTTGCTGTAAGGAGAAACAAATCAAGGACAATATTATTGTACTGTAATTAAACAGAAAATAAACAGAATATTTCACTGTTGGTTTTGTTTATCTTGTAAGAAGTCAACTAGATCGCTCTTTGAGCTGTGGCCCTATTTTCTTAGCAAAACTAAGTGGAGAGAATGATGGTGGGCATTAGGGGGCAGCAGAGTGTGCTATGAAGTTCTTAGTGTTTTGCTCAGAGTTTCTGGGTGGAGGTTAGCTGGGTAGGGGACACTGGAGGGGTTGAGTTCATGCTCCAGTATTGGACTCTTGCTTTAGTGATCTTGGGCAGATAAGGCTTAGCTACAATGAAAGAAAACACAGATGAACCAGCACTTACCTGGTCCTGCAGGACCAAGTAAGTGTCCACACAGGAGACTATTTCTTGGTGGAGAGGGAAAGGAGATATATCCTTTTCTGATGAAAGATATAGGAAGAGGAGTCATACAGGCTAAATTGGCAACAGTTCTTTGAACTCAAATGGGACCTGCTAGTAGCTGACAGCCTTTTTAGCTGTTGATGAAGGAAGTTGAGGAATAAGAGGGCCCATTTCTTTCATCTGCCCATGACCTGACAAGCTCTGTGTGGGTTTGGAAGCAAGATAGTGGACAGGAGCTGCTTTCCAGAGAATTAACACTGGTATAATTACTTTCACCCAACAGAAGTCAAGATAGGAAAACATTAGCCAGGTCTAGTAGATTTTAGCATTTATATATTTTTGCAATAACACTGGCATGAAATGATTGATAACAAACTCTACAGATAGTAGCATGTGGCCCGATCAATTTTCAAGGGGTTCCTACACAGCTAATAAGTCCTAGTTAAACTGAGACTGGTAATATGAAAATAAATATAACGGCAGCAACAAAATCAGGAATAGCTGCCTTTTATGGAGTGCTTAAACATAACACCAAATGCTAATGCCCTATATACCTGCTTGCTTGTTATTACAAAAAAATCATACTTGCTGCAATTTTATAACCTGTTTTCTTCTTTTAGCAAAATAGAATACTGCTCTGCATCAACAAGTTTACAACTATGTATCATTTAAATGCTTGCATTAGTATTCTGTATTTGAATCCGATTTATTCAACTAAGGTCTTACTGTTTTCTTTGATATTTTTCTCTTGGTCTTTCCACATTTTTACTAAGTATCTGGGAGAATTTTCATTTATACAACCTGGAGTTAGTTGAGTTTCTTGGATGTGTAAATGGATGTATTTCATCAAATTCAGGAAACTTTTCTTCCTTTTCTTCTCTCCTCTGGCATCCCATTTTATGTGTACTGTGTGCTCTGTGATGTCCCACATTCCTCTGAGGCGCTGTTCACTTTCCCTCATTCATTTTCCAGTTTGTTCTTTAGCTTGTCTTCAAGTTCATGGCTTCTTTCTGATGTCAGTTCAAATCTATTGTCGCTCCCTTCTAGCGAATTTTTAATTTCCATGATTGTACTTTCCATCTCCAAACTTAAGTTTTTAAGTGTACTTTCTGTCTTCATTGATATTCTCTAATTAATGTGACATACTTAACTCCTTTAAACATGTTTTCTTTCTTTAGTTCTTTGAACATATTTGTAATGGCCACCTTGACATCTTCGTTAAATATAATAGCTGGAACCTCTCAGACAATAGTCTCTGTTGCCTGATTTTTTTGATTTTTTTCCAGTGTCATGGGTCACACTTTTCTGTTTGTTTGCATGTCTCACAGTTGTCGAAAAGTGGACATTTTAGATAATATATTATAGTAACTTTAGACACCTGAACTTCCCCACTCTGCACCCCGTCTTCCTTCCCTAGGCTTAATGTTTGCTTATTTGTTCATTTTGTGACATGCCTGGACTATGTTAGTAAAATCTATTTCCCTTGCAGTGTGACACACCTGATATCGGTAAAGAGTATAGCCCTGGGTATTCACACGGTTGTCCTTTCCTTGACTCTTTTCCTGTTTTATCTGTTAAACTGTCTATCTCTGTGGAACTCACACCCAGCTTACATGTCATTGTAAGTTTCTTCTTTAGTTTGTTTTAAGTATTGGAACCCCTAGTTCCACAGGAATGCCAAGGCTAAGCATTTTGTAGCAAGGATCAGAAGAGTATGACTGTTGGAGCCTGAGCAGGTCCTGGGTTTCTGAGCAAAGAGACTTTTTCAGAAAGTAGCGTAAGAGAAAAATGTCCCCACAATCCTTAGGGACATGTGGCAGATTGTACCTTTCAGATGACCATCAAAATTATATCACTTTTCA